TGCCAGTGGCAGGAGATGTAGCTGAACTGTGTGACCCTGGGCACTTGGATGTGCTGTTCTGCAAACTGCAGCCTCACGGTGTCAAACAAAAGGCTTTGAATCATTTTAGATGGAACTACCTATCCTGTCCCCAGAGAGGACTTTTGGGTCGTTTTTGCAGGTTACATTTTGGTTCTGTCTGAGACCATCCACTCAGGCAGCACACCCAAGAGCAGGGTGATAAGGCAGATAAAGCCAGCGTTTTGCTTCACAAATACATCCTTATAGCTCAGTTCTACTCTTGAGTTTGGGCCAGCCAAAATGAATTGCTGCATTTGGGACATTCTTTGGGGGGGTAAGTCCAAGGGGTGATGCAGAGTCTGCACTCTGCCTGCTCAGTCAGTCAGTGCCTGAGGGACATTGCTCAGCACTGGGAGTGAGGTCATGTGGAAGCCAAATGTTAACTTCACATCAAGCCAATCAAGACTCTGTAGCAGTAGAAGTCAATCAGTAGCCTCTGCATCTGGGAATTCAGTACTAGGAGAGACTTGGAGGGCCATGTACATGTTGCAGTAAGAAGCATCTCTACAGTGTGCAGAGAAATCAGTCAGCTCATTATAGCTCACAGACATTAAACAGCATTCTTCCTTCTGCCTTTACTGTTTTTGCTTCCCAGGCTGTTCTGTTAGATGAGGAAGGAGAAGAGTTTTGTGGTGGAACTATTCTGAATGAAAATTTTATACTTACTGCAGCCCACTGCATAAACCAATCCAAAGAAATCAAAGTTGTTGTTGGTGAGTGATTTATTTCTTTTCCTCCTCTGAGGTAGGAGTATCTGTTGTGCCTAACCTTCTGTGCCTTAAATCTCCCGTGAGATGTACTCATGATTCATTAAGTTTGGTTACCTTTTTGCTGTTCTTTATAATTTCTTGTTATTGTGAGCATCCTGCTTTGTAACAGCCGGAGCAGCTGATGTGGAAGGTGACAATGGTGCCTTCTTTCTTCTCTACCAGCTAGCTGGGAGTGATTAGAGTGAAATATTCTAGAAATATTGGCTATCAATATGTTCAGCAGGGCAGTGCTTCTGCAGGAAGCTCATCATTCCTGGCACTTCAGAAGCATCTAGATTTATTCCTGCAGGACCTCTCAGGAAACCTATGACTCGTTGAGTAGAGCACAAAGGAGCAAACTCCGATTTATCATTCCCTTTTGAGCCAAGGCACAGGATCAACACAGCCTCATCTTTACACTCTTGTAGTCCAGACCATGTTCTCTTCTCTAAGCCAGGCTCAAGCCTCTGTAAGTGCATCCACACAAGGTTGCATTAGTTTAGCTGAATCAGCTTATGCCTTTTTGTAAACTTGTACAAAATCTCCATAGACCAAATCTTAGTATCAAAGCTGGTCCAGTTGCTGCTGAGAAATACTGGCATACCTGTTTATAGTTTCCTTCTGTGATCTAAAGTCTTGGGCAAAGGGCTCAGAATGAATATACTGCTCTCTTCCTCTGTCCAGATTGTTCTTAAATTCTTATACTTTCTCCATATTAATGTCCCTTTGAATACTTTTATACAGGTGAAGTGGACAGAGAGAAGACAGAGCAGTCTGAATCAATGCACACTGTGGACAAAATAGTTATTCACACCAAATTTGACGCTGAGACTTACGACAATGACATCGCCTTATTAAAGCTGAAGGAACCTATCAGATTTTCGGAGTACGTCATCGCAGCGTGTCTCCCCAAAGCAGATTTTGCTAATGATGTTCTGATGAACCAAAAATCTGGGAGGGTCAGTGGCTTTGGGCGTGAATTTGATGGTGGAAAACTCCCCAAAAAACTGAAGATGCTTGAACTGCCCTATGTTAATACGACCATTTGCAAGCAATCCACTAATTTTCTGGTAACTGAGAACATGTTCTGTGCTGGTTATGAGTCAGAGGAAAAGGATGCTTGCCAAGGAGACAGTGGTGGCCCCCATGTGACCAGATATAAGGATACTTACTTTGTTACTGGAATTGTTAGCTGGGGTGAAGGATGTGCAAGGAAAGGAAAATATGGTGTCTATACCAAACTGTCCCGGTTCTTGCCTTGGGTAAGAAAAGTCATGACTTTGTAGGGGTGGTATATGCCTTGATCCTTCTTGTTGGCTGAAAAGGTGCAGGATTGGTAATGGAAACTTCCTTTTTCTGCACATCTGCTAAGTTTGAGCTCTGATTCCTTATAGTTATGGTCTGCTTCCATTTGTATTATTCCTGGCTTTAATGCACATCTCTGTGGGCTGTGAAGGTGTTTGGAATTGGTTGAATGAGGGAATTGCCCCAAGCAAAAAGGCTGCTGACTGGTGTCTTTGGCTTCTTTTCATTATTTATCAATGGCCATTTTGGTTGCTGTTGACACAAGTGCTTCTACCAGAGGCTCCTAAACATGTTCTGAATAGTCACTAGTCATGATGAAAGCAGGATCAATGAGTGTCAGTGAATCCTCATATTGCAGTCATCTGACTTAGCAGGGAGTTTGCCCATACTGGAGCCATATAGCTTCTACGTTTAGATGTGTTCAGAATATTAAGGGAGCAGAAGATCTTGCATGGCATAAGCTGAAACACAATTAATTAGTCAATGTTTGATGCTAAATAACAGTATGTTCCACAAAATGGCCTTATCTGATCAGAGCAGCTTATTAAAGAGAGGCTTTGCTTTATAAGGATTGTACTTCACTTTAGTTTTATTTGTACATTCTTCTCAACAGAATAAATATATGTGCACAGTCACTATTTTGCATATCTTGTTCTGGATTGTGTATGGCTTGGGACTGGAAAGTCCCTTGCAAGTGTATTGCTCTAGATATTATTGTTAGGTGCAATATTAACACACACCAGCATTTGAAATAAAATATTCTTTCTTTTTTGTTCTTGTTTTTTTTTTTTAACAAGCCCAGCCCCATCACCCTCTATCCATTGTGTGCTCTACCCCATAACAATCCTGATATATTTTCCAAGACTCCTCCAATCTCTTATGCTCTTCTGTGCTCTGAGGGACACTGAACTTCATTAGACACCTGCTACATCTCCCTCAAGTTTTGAGCTGCTACTGGCTCCTTTCACATAGCACAGGTGCTGTGGGCAAAGCAGACTGACAAAGTCAGAATACAACTCTGCAAACAGGTGGAATTGCTGCAGTTAGCACTAATTGTGGGCAGGAAATTGAGTGGGCAGGTCAGTTACCCCAGCTTGAGGTCTTGCCCTGTATAACTCCTCAGTGGGCTTACTTCAATGTTTGCTCAGCAGTGTTTGTTCCCTGAGTTCTTCTGTCCTCTGGATTCCTGTTCAAATCCTTTGTCCCACAGGTGCTGTGCCTTGTGCTCAATCAGGGTGAAAGATCCCTCTTCAAAGCAACGTCTCAGGTCTGGGTCCTACCCAAATCCTACCTACCTACATACTCTTGCTAAGGGCTTTCTTCTACTTAAGTGGAGCTTGAGGACTGAAGCAAAACACAGAGTGGGCTGTAAAGGTGTTGAGGTAGCTGAAGGCATCACTTTATGTCCATTGCTCTTTCTGTGCCAGCACCTCTGCCATGCTGAGAGAACATGAGTGAAACGTGTGTTTATTTCAGGACTTCTATCAAAGGTC